AAAAAAAAAAAAAAGATTTCTGGGGAGAAGTAGAGAATTATTAGAAGACCTATTTTTACTCCAATGTATGGCCAATAATGAGCATGTCATGGGCCTCCTGGTTCTGGCTCGGGCCTGAGAATGCCCATGAATGATACTGGAAGATGAATGTGGGGAAAGGTCAGCCCCCCTCCCTCTTTTCAGTCAAGTAGAATCAGCCAAACTCTGTCCAGTGTTGACCGACGATGCTATTCTCATGCCAAAAATCTCCCTCTAAAGGACATCAGTAGAGCGAAATCGTTGATAATGTATTCCGATGCAAATAAGTGGACTGATTTCTTCTTCTTCTTGTTTGTGAAGCCTCTGGCGCCTTGTCATGACTCCGTGGAATCCATGCAGGTGTTCAAACAACACTGCCAAATAGCAGAAGAATACAATGAGGTCAGAAAGGAAATCGCTCTGCTTGAGGAAAGGAAGTAAGTACTGTCCCTTTGAACCCTCTGGCCTCCGAGTACTGCCTACTGGTCACGGACCGGGGGAGGCAGGGAAGGAATGGGCTGAGCGTTAGGGTGAGAGGGAGGGATGGGGGCAAGTGACATTCTGTGGTTCAGAGGTTACTAGGCCACTTCTGTGGATATCATGTTTGATTATAGAAAAGACCCGAATCGAGCTGCTGAAGACAAAATGCTTTACTTTATGGAGTACTGAGAATAGCAGGAGGACTTCCTACCAGAAACTTAATTTTTAAATAAGCATTTTTAGTTCAGGAAATTAAAAATGCCAGAATGCCAGAGTCACACTATGTTTCCTATGGATGTGCCCAAAAGCCCCAGAGAACTTTGGCTTGGAGTGAATTTTGATTAATGCTTAACGGTGGAGTTTCTGCATCAAGTCAAGTCAAGAAGCCAGTGGGACAGATCTTTGGAATAATGTAAATGCATTGGTAGACTAACTGCATTTTTTAGTCCAATAGCCCAGGGAGGTTTTTTAAATCTTGATAGCTTCCATTACCACTCCAGTTTTGCTGTAGGGAATTATAGAGTTCTATTAATTAAATCATTCTAATTTTACTCACACTTAGCTTTTTCTTGCAGAATTCTCCTTTTTAATTGCACTCAGTTCTACCAGTGTCTACCCCAGTGATCCCCCATATCTTTCATACTTTCAAAGCCTCAGACACCTTTCTACCCTAGCATTGTTTAGTCCATACTTATGTATTTATTAGTGAGATCTTTTGATTAATATTTGCATCTCCTACTACATGGTAACTACTAAGTGCTTTTAATCCCTGAAGGAGGGGAGAGTCAGGTGTCGCTCACCATCGTATTTCTGAAGCCGAGCACAGTACATGGGATGTAGAGGCTGAATCAGTTTTTGTTGAGTGCGTGACACATAATCAAAACATGTTTTGATTCTTTAACTTTCTGTTTTTTTCCCACTTCCTCTTCCTGAAGTGATACATGGTATGTATTACTTAGTTTTCAAAATCAAAGCAAATGAAATATGTTTTGAGTAATTTATAAAATTCTTGGGACTCTTTGAAGACTGCCCTCCCTGCCCCTTGTCCCCCCAGGATGATGGTGGGACAGAATAACATGGTGGGGAGCAGTATGGTTATAGGGTCAGACTGCACTTACTGTAAGACCTCGATTAACAAACCTTTTCTTACTTCCTTGCTGTGTTACGCTTCAAACATAAAATCATACCTGGACTTATGGCTAAAGGGGATGAAAAAATGTTTATGAGGAGATCAGAAAAACACATCTTCCCCTCATTTATCTGAGACTTTCTTTTTGGTCTGAAAGTTCTCATAAATTGGTTGGAATGCTCAGATTGCACATTTGCACGCAATCTGAGTCCTAAAAAAACCTTAAAGGAGCTGAAGAAGCTTATTAATAATACCCATGGGGAAGTTAAAGGAGGACTTGTATAATCAGTTGCCTATAAATGTATCTCCTCGTGTGCGTGTGTGGGTGTGTATGTGTGTGAACTGTGCTGTTGAGACAGATATAACAGGTAATTATGTATTTATTTGTAAACTCTTCAGATTGAAAGTGTTGGAAGACTTCGTTTATTTCAATTAACCCATAGGTGGCCTTTTTTTTTTTTGGCAATGCAAAGCTCACCCGCTAAATTGTATGTTTTGTAAGTTTATATTTTTGGGTATTTCATTAAAAAATAGGATAATGATGTAATAGTGACTCATGTGGTCTTTTATTGAAAACATATTCCTGCTGTTTCTACATAACTAATCTTATTTTTTCCCTTAAGCCTGTTCGAACTTTGGACTTTTCTTGAAACTATGTTATCTCCCTCCTCTCCCCCCACTTTCTTCTTAAATAATTAGCTAGATGCACGGCAAAGGCCAAATTCTTTTGTTATCTCTTTTCCTTTCTTTTTTATAAAGTCTCTCAATTCCTTTTTCTCCATTCCTGCTTCTGCTCTTTGAGATCAAGACTTGCTGCTTCAAATCCTGGTCAATGTAATATTATAACTGGTTTCCCTGCCTATGTTTTCACATTGTTGGAAAAGGACACCAAGTTCTTGGCCTGGATTGCAAGCTCTAGCTCATGATGGCCTCAGCACCCCTGTAGAATGTTCTGCCTCATCCTTCGTCTTCAGCTACATCGGTCTATTCACTCTTCCTGCCTCTGTGCCCTTGCTCATTCACCAAGCTCTAGGTCTGGAGGACTGGTTCCTTCCTCTTTGCATGCCCAAATGCTACCCTCAAGGAGAGCTTAGCCAGTATCCCTGCCCAACCAGTCCACGGGGTTCATCTCTCTTCCTGGGTGAAAGAAAATACACTGGAATGATTCCTTTTTTTTAAAGATTTAATATTTATTTATTTGAGAGAGAGAGAGAGCAGGCATGGGCAAGTGTTCAGGGGGAGGGGCAGAGGGAGAAGGAGAGAGAGAGGATCTCTGGAAGACTCTGCACTGAGCACAGAGCCTGAGGTGGGGCTGGATCTCATGACCCTGAGATCATGACCTGAGCCAAAATCGAATCAACAGCGTAACTGACTGAGCCACCCAGGAGCCCCTGGAATGATTCTTCTGGCATATTTGTGGGCTGGTGTTATCAATAGTTATCTATTTAATTTTACGTCCTGACTTTCTGACTGTGCAGAGTTCCCAACAAACATGGTTACCTTTTAACATCTCTTGGTGTCCCAGTCACCAAGCAGAGGGACAGGTACATAGGGTCAAACATGAGTGAGGGTGATTTTGAGTGACTGATTATAAGACACGGTAATACCCTCTGTGTATACAAACACTGTAACAGATGTGTCATTTGTTTTTTTGTTTTTGTTTATTTTTAAAGATTTTATTTATTTATTTGACAGAGCGAGACACAGCAAAAGAGGGAACACAAGCAGGGGGAGTGGGAGAGAGAGAAGCAGGCTTCCTGCTGAGCAGATTGCCTGATTCGGGGCTCGATCCCAGGACGCTGGGATCATGACCTGAGCCGAAGGTAGATGCTTAACGACTGAGCCACCCAGGTACCCCGAGAAATTAGGTCTATTTAATTATTTTAATCCAACGAGACTATTTCGTCTTCACTGAGCCTTAACAAGATAAGCAGTTGAGAGGCTTCTTTCTGGCTCATGGGTTTTGATCCCCCCATCCCCTACCCTTAAAATATGGTATTGCTTTACGTCTTCATGACTGGAGGGAACATTCCCAGCTACACACCTTAAATCATTTAAGTAAGTGCTTGTTTGTTGCGTGAAGGATATGATCAAGTTTGTTATAAACATTTACCAACTGTCAAGCCATTTGGTTAGGGTTGCCTCTGTCCGGGGCGGTAGCCTGCTACCTTTATTCTATACTCCAGGGCATGATTGGCTCAAAAACAAAACGGTGGGAATTGAGAGGGGAAAGATAACACAGAAAATGACATCCAAAAGCACATTCTTCTTTCCATGCTTAGCATAAGCCTATAAATTTAAGTCATTCTGCCGCAGGACGTCTCTGTACTGAAAGCGATGAAAATGTTTTATGTAGCAAAGGAGCAATCCGTTCTGTGGAGCAGACCCTCTTCAGAGTCAGTGTCATGTGCTCTCCACACATAGTAATGGCTCTTGGAATTGTACCGACCATCATGATCCTCTGCAGGAGAATGAAAGTTAGGTGACAAAGGTACGCCAAGTGCCTTGTGATTGTCACTATTTGCTCGAAGATAAACTGACTCTTGATTATCTCCACAGGAGCCTTAAAAACTTGCCAAATGAAAGATAAGGGATGCCAGGTGATTACTGCCATCCCTACTCTTTGCATAAGCCTCAGATTTAAATCCCACTGTGCACATTGCGTATTGCTGGGCAAGTGACTCTTCCACGCAAACAATCTCATGTGAGCCTCGCCGTAATTGTGTAAGCTAACTATAATGTCTCCACTTTAGAGATGAGAAACCTGAGGTCAAATTTTGGTCTGAACCAATTTGCTATTTCCACCTCTATCTCAGATTCTGCATCTTGGTAGCTTTCTTTCCCTTATAGCTTTTGGGAAACGTATGGGCTTAAATTACTTTGATAAGTAGCGGGTTTTTTTTTTTGTTTGTTTCTGGTTTGCGAGGTTGCCATAATGTGCCTCTAGGACAACCTTGTAAAGTTGGTTCTGACTTTCTGATCTCCATTACACATTCTTGTGTTATAAAATGGAGCTATAAAGTAGCTATCTGGTAGATATTGTCTCACCAATTTGACCCCCTAGATTCTGTTGCTTTGCCAAGAATGTGGACATGTTGGAGCATGTAATTTGTGGTGCTTCTATTTTCACAGAAGCCAAAAAAAGCCCTGTGTAAGAATAGCCGTGACAAACATTTCTCTTGATGTCTCTATTAATGCAAAAGTTGGGCAAGAGACTTTGGGGTAAGGTAGGTGTTAAAAGGAGCATCTCTTTATAATGTTCGTTTGTGGGCCTTAGGCCTCAGCATGGGGGCAATGGGTACGTTGATTCTATTTTATGCGGATTCCTTTCCTGGAACTTGGTTTCTAAATTCTCTCTGCCTATTAGAGGCTGTAGTTGGGTTGAGCTGGTTTAGCACACACTGTCCAGAGAAAGGAGGCGCAATTCTATGTCCACTTCTAAGAATGATGGAAAAAAATCACTATTTTTCTTTACCAGAATACCTCCATCCTCACCCCCCCAAATAAAGATAACACTGAGATTCAAGGAATAATTTTCTTTAGGCTTCAATTTCCTTCTATTTGAAAACGAGATCATGCCCAACCTCCCTCTTTGTTTTGAAGGATGGTCTGAGTTGGCACCACATTTGTCTTGAAATTTAACCATGTTGCTGTGTTTTGGAGATCATCCTTTGACCTCTAGATGATCCAAAGCTGAGCTGTAATCTGGTTTTAATTGTATTGCAATGAAGAATATGCTTTTATCATCAGGTAGATATTATGGTAATGAATAAACCTCAATTTTCTGAACTGCAAAGTGGAGACAACAATATTGATCTCACATTGTTG